ATTTTTAATCACTTAAACTCTGGAAATACAAAACTCCTCGCTTACCATGTTCATTTGTCATTTTGTATTTGCTAAGTAGTTTTCTACCATCGACATTTATATTGTACTGTTTAAAGAAATTCAATTTTATAATTCGTTTTTGTGAAGTATATGTGGATATTTATATATTTCATTGAAGTGAAGTTTATTCCCGGTATAGATGATAATAATTATGTATAAACGGACCATTTTGTATTTATCCGTTTGTATATGAAGGTCGTATAGAAGTATGATCGTAAAGTAACAAAAGAAAGTTCTAAAATATAAAATAATAAAATAATATTTATTTTAATGAGTGAAAGAAATCACATATTTCAACGTTAGCAAACTTCAATGAAGTACATTGAGAGGATTTCCAATTTTTCTAAATTAAATTTGTGAGTAATGAAATGTGTAGAGTACTATTAATAAATGAAATATGATAACTTATACAAATATCGCAAAATAATTACAAATTAGTAAAATTACGTTTTAAATTCAATATGCAAACAAAGACTTATGAAACAAATTTGTTCATATGCCAAGTTTCAAAAGCCAAATGCAAATTAACATGTAAGTGAGACGTTTTGTAAACCACAATCAATAGCTTACACAAATTACGAAGATGTATTGAAACACTGAAAGCATTACAAATTTTTTAAGAAGTCTGTAAGTACTACAATTTACTTTACAATTGTCGGAATCAAGAACGATTAGGGAGACTAGAACCTACATGAAATGTGTAATACATGTTCTACACAGTACTAAGGGCAGGAGTATGTGTTACGACGTTTTAAAGTGATCCTAGCAACATTTTTCCAAATACATCCTTAGTTTTGAAAATAATAAACACATTATTTAAATTAAAATGCAGTGTACCAAACTGCACAGATTAAACCAGCGCAATAAAGTGCGCGAAGAAGATTTCGCTATCAAGAACGTAATTTGACTGAGCAATGACCTTGTCAGGATAGGAGGAGAAGGATAACTGTCGAGACAGCTCTTGAGATATGAAACTCATCGGCAGACCATATGTCTCCTTTTCTTTGCAGCTCAAGAGATACTGATGACTATTAACGACATTTCATAAAAGATGACGTGAAATACCTATTTTTATTTCGAAAACATCTAGATAATTCTTTCTTTGTTAAAAATAGTGTTTTCTTCTTGGAACTGAATTATCCAGTACATTCAATATTTGTAACAACGAAAATCCTGCTACTTCCTTGCTATCCTCTTTGAAGATTGTGGAAATCCTGCAAGGCCAACATTTTTCATTTGAACGGCGTGGGACTTCCTTTGCCTTAGCCTCCACCATCATCAAATCTGTCGTCTGGGGGTACGAAACCGACTCCGGATGGCACACTTAATATTTATGACAACAAACGTTTGCAATAATTCAAATAAAAATGTTGGTGAAAACAATATCAATTTGAATTTTGGCACAACACATCACCGGGAGATTACGATAAACGCGAAAGCGTCGATTAGCCCCGGCTGGATGGCTGTAGAGGTGCATGTGCCTGCGTGCCTGCGTGTGTGTGTGTCTGCTGAGCCTGCCTGCCTGCCTGCCCGTTGTGCTTGCCGGTTTCTCCGCCGGCGTCCGCCGCCGTGTGGCCCTGCTCATGCGGGTGGGCCGCCGGCGCCGCCGCCGGGCCGGCCTTGTCGTGGGCCGGGGGCGGGGTGGCCGCCGCCGCCGCCGCTGCCGCCGGCGGGGCTTTGGACGGCGGTGTGTGGCGGCGCGGCCGCCGGTCCGCGTCTTTCGGCTGCTCCGCCCCGTCCTCTTGCCGCTCCGCGCGCTCGCCTTGCCGGCCCGACCGCGCGCCCGCTGGCCGGGAGCCCGCTTTCGAGACCGACCCTTGCTCCGCCGACTCGCCCCGCGATCGCCCCGCTGTTCGCTCCGCCTTCAGGCTCAGCTTGTGGTTCGCCTTCAAGCCCGGCTGACGGCTCGATTGCCGGCCCGTTGGCCGGCCTCCCTTGCGGGCTGCGTACACCTACGTAGCAGCCAACAAACGTCTACTCCAGCATTTTCAAACGCCACTCGCCGCAACTCTGTACACCTGAATTTGCTCTAGAAAACGCGAAACTACTATTTACATTGCGTTAGATAAGCTACCCTTCATACTTTGAAAATTATTTTGGTCTTTGTAATGGTTTTCTCTTGGGAAAACATCATTTTTACGAAAAAAATGTTTATTACCGTTAGCTGTTGCCGAGGATTTTCGGAACGGGCAGGCAGGTCAGACATGGTCTCAATCACTCATAAATATGGCCAGTTTACCGATCAAGAACATATCATTCTGGGTCATGAACTCGAACCATCCACACTCACATCAAATCAACTACAAAGGAAGAATGCACTCGTAAAGGGTCGAGTCACACACACGTACACGTACACACACGTACACGTACACACACGCATACACATGTACAGTGTGAATGCTGCTGTTTGACGATGGGCGTGGCGGGAGACTAAATTCTCTACGCCGGCACTCGTAAAGGGCCCAGTCACCCACACAAATACACACACACATACATACTAACACGCACGTCGACATGTAGAGTGTGAACGCAGCCTGTTCGAGGCTGGGCGTGGCGGGATTGTGTAGTAATACCTGAGGCCGCATGCGGGCGCTCTTGGCGGGCTCCTTCTCGGCGTAGACGGCGAACCCGTGGGACGGCGCGCCGGCGCTGGTGGCCCCGGCGCCCGCGACGGCGGCGGCGGCCGCTGCGGCAACGGTGGCGTCCGAGTGCGCGCTCACGGCGGCGCTCTTCTCGGGCATGGCCGACGGCTCTGGCTCTGACATGACGACGCCGGTCACCTCACCACATCACAGCCTCGCCACGCCCTCTGACCACCCGCTGCGCCCCGGGCCCGCACTGGCGTCTGCCGCCCAGACCATCCGCCCGCCCGCCCGCCTTGAGATCCATTGTGTGCTTATCGGCGCACCCCGATTAGATGGTGTAGATTAGGTGGGGCAATGATCCGCACGAGATACAGAAAATGCTGTAGGATGTGGGCCGTACGACGTGCCGTACGGGGGAAAGATAAGTGGGTTACGGTATCTGATCACGTTTTATAAGTACCGATTGCACTTAACCAACATTTCGTATTGCAGTGCATCGGTGATGCCGAATATGCTTGAAGCTGTGATGTGGGAGACAGATATGTTATCAAACAATGCATGTACAGTACCTACGCTAATAATTCTTTAGAATGAAAAAAATGTTAGGTTTAATTTTTCATTATTTCTTTCTTTTACATTAAACATTTGAAATGAATGAACTGCATTCTCTGAAAATTTCGTTCGTAATTCACATGGGAGAGATTCCCTTTTAAAAAAAGAAAATAACACACCCAAGTTTTTGCGAAGTATTCTCTATGTGAAAGAGCTACGAATACTCATACTATTATACACACGGCAATATGCTAGATAGTCGTTTACAGCAAACCATTATCAGATGGCAGAGTAAATGATTCGGAGCACAAATGTGAAGTTCATTCAAGTTTTGTTTTCGTAACACATATTGAATATGAGATATCATATTCATATTCTCTCGTTCGTATTGTCTAACCTGTGATATGCGACGTAAAAGGAACTGAATCCCTTGAATTCACGTTTAAAATAAAGAGCCTTTTTGGTGAAAATAATTGCTTAAAAATAGAATATAGGAAACTATGCGAAAATGATTCACATTTTCGAAAAATTGTACTAATTTTACAGATATAACTTTGAAGAACAGATTTAATAAAGAAAACATATCTCAATCTTCGACGTTATAGGAAGACATCGAAAATTATGTTTTTCTAAGTACCTTCAAAAATAAAAATATCGGTTTCAAATTTGCAAGGCTGGCACACACTTCAGTGAAGAAATCAAATTTACACTAGACCCAAGTCAATGACTGATAAATTTGAATTGTTCATTGAACTTTTCAGTATTTTAATGTTATCTTTCATGACTATTTAATTCTTATTTTGATTTTATACAGGCTACAACTAGAACCTGTTTGGATTAATTATTAATCTAATTTAAACTCTGATAAGGTATAGCATCTCTATAAAAAAACATTACGATACAGGAAAAAAATGTTTTTCTGCAGATAAATCAACATCGGCGGAGTAAAGATTGATCCATAGGGAAAAACGTCTGCTACATAACAAATTGGATCTACGAATTGGTACTACATTTAACGTAATGAGTTATTTATGATTGTGATCATTGATTACGTTTCCAAAACAAATTGATACTGAAAAGTATTGATCCAATTGATATTCTAGAGACAATACTTATGCTCTTGATTTGCAACTAATGGCGGATGATCATTGAAATCTTCCGTTGTGATTTCCATTACACTCTATATTTTCGTAATACGATGTCTCTCAGTACATAACATATTCAGCTCTCGAATGGGAGGATTTATGTGATTTTTTTCTGTAGGCGGTGTGCAGAATGGATGTACACTAATCAAACTTATCTATATTCATTTTAGAATAATATTATTTCTATTATTCTTGCGTATGCTTAGGTACTTACTTTATTGTTACTCAAGTAATACCACGATGTAAATATTCTTGTAGATTAAAGGCCAACCTCACTATTCCATTACCAGGTACCACTTTGATGAAATGTTCGAAAAAATATTTAGCAAGTACTGTTATATTTTTTTCGCGTTGTATGGTGACGAGCCTCGGGGATATATTCGATATCAACGCACAAACACAGATTCTAGAGAAATAATCATACGTATACTCAATTAACGTGAAGCACGACTGAGATTGTAGGGTTTCACCTTTACTTCGAGACCTGCAAAGAGACTGTGACAAGATTATTCAACTGTTTGTTTATTTTTTGTTGTTATGGATATTGTAAGGAAATGAATCAATGGGTGAATCAACACAAGGATGGGTGGAAAACAAAAGGATCAGACATATTGTGTACTCGGTTTTGAATATTATATAAAAAGCCATAGAAAAATACATATTATTTATTTAAAACTTAATTTTATACAACATACTTATATACTTCTGCGTGTAATCACTATAGATGTGCTTAACGAAGAATAAAATAGATACCTTTATTTGGGCTCGATCACATTTTATATTCTTAACAAGTATTGTCTTTCTATTAGTTCATCACAAGAAACGCAAGTTTCAATTTAGAATAAACAAAGAAGCCAAGAAATTAAAGTTCTTTGTGCATTTAAGTCAGTGATGAACTTTTTAAAAAATCCATATATCTGATATCACTTTTAGTTTATTTGATCTCAACCATTTCTACTAGAGCGTTTTTAAATAAGTATCGAAGATAAAAAATTCCAAAAAAATATAATAAATTGAGAAATAAATGAATGTTGAAAGGAGACATTACTCGTGAGTTTCATGGTTGACAAAAGGATATCGAATACTGGAAATAGTTTCGAGTCCGTTTTCGAGCACGAGGTGGTCCCCTTGTTAAGCGAAGCGTACTTCCATCAGACGAGAAAAATTCTCCGCCGAAATCCTTTAACTTCCGTCGGAGCCCTTCTCACGAAGGCACCCTCCGCCCTGCACCGAAGTCGGGCGACGCTTCACGAGGTGCTCCGGCGTGAGCCGACGCCTGCCGATGTCTTCCGAGGCCGGTCGAAGCCGGCCGAGTAGCCCCGACGAGTGGTGACGTACTCACAGCACTGACAGCTGGCTGAGCAGCGTGTAGACGAGCACCCATAGCGCCAGAAAGACGAGCGTCCCCACGAGGAAGATGGTTTTCAGGTGGTGCCAAGGGCTCTCCGGGGCCGGGGGCTCGCCCTTCTCGCGGTAGTACTTCTGGTGCTGCATGTGCAGCGAGGTGCAGTGCTCGGAGCACGTGAGCACGCCGTTGCCGTTGATGGCGTGCTGCGGGGGTGCGATTGCGTGGAGCGGGGAGGGCGGGGGCGATGCGGACAGCGACCCGGCGCCCGCCGCCGTCACCGCCGCCGCCGCTGGCACCTCGCTCATCTCCACGGTGCTGCTGCTGCTGCCGCCGCCGCCTCCGACCCCGACCCCGGCGCTGCCCGGACTACAGCACCCTCGACGCACGTCGTCCCGCTCGAAACCCGCGTTCTCCATCTGCAACACACATACAACTCTTTACTAGCGTTCTCATTCAAACTATTGGGGATAGCAAAACATGGGGTAGAGTTTAATTCCTTTAAAGAAATAGAGGAATCTGATATGGGCCAGGGAAATAGTTAAACAAACTCCATGAGGTGTCACATACTGATAGGGAACACAATTATAATATTGCTAATGGGGAATTACTCTTAGAAGGAACCTCTACTGACAGGTCGGGAAAGAAAGAATTGTCGTGCAAGGCGATGACATTGCAAGAGGTAGTGATAAAGCCATTTGAAAATGAGCTAACTGTAAACGAAAGCACTGCCAAAATGAGTGCATTAACATAACTTACAGTTGTTTTTTTTACATTGCCGGCAATGGCCACGCAAAAGCTGTCAAAAAGGTTCTTTCTTAGATTAATCGATCTATAACAAGTTATAAGAATGCTCTATGCAAAATACCAGATTTATAGAAATAATAAAGTGTTGACGTTGCACTATTGCATTAATGGAGTCAACGACATTATTCATAATCCTTAGCATCAGAACGTCAAATCACTGCCATCGGTTTTAATATGAGAATAATAGTTTTCTTAACTTCCGTAGAATTCCTTTAATAAAGGTTTCCTTAAACATTTACACTCGTAAAGAACACTCGACTGTGGTTGTCAAATCGAGCGGTTGTGCAAGCTAGCTCTTCAACCTTGATTTATTTTAAGTTTTCTTCTGATCTTGTTGTAAATAAGACAACTGCTCTGTGTATCAGAGTAGACAACATATTTTTTGTCAAATTGAAGAGAACCTAGTCATGTGAAACGATATTTATTATTATATTTGGCGAGTTACATCTACATTGAATTTGTCACTATTATTCATAATGCTATGATTGATAAGTATATCAATATTAATATTCAACATTAACGCTTGACTTCGTGTCAGCATTTCATAAGATTGGATGCTGCATGTCATAGCAAATTGTTGTTGCTCCTGACCATCTATCTTACATCAACACAAATAAACATAAATACTTCTACATTGTGTTAAATTACATACTCGTATTTAACAATTCTTCGGCTTGGATATGAACATTACGTATTCCTAACACTTTATTTATTGAGCTTTTGAGATTTGTTAGTCATTTTATTATAATATTCTATTACAGTTCACTAATTTATAGTACAATAATTTGCAATATGCAAATAATGCAAGTACTGCAATATAATTTACAGTACAATAATTTATAGTATTGCACCTACTCACTCAGTCACTCAGTCACTCACTCACCCACCCACCCAATTACACTCACAACATGTGATTTGGCCGTCGTATCCCCTCCACTTGTGTCAGAAATTGCTTTTCCTCTAATCTCTTTAATTTTTTTCTGAATTTGTTCCTTTTCTTCCACGAATTCCCAAAGACGACTTAGTAGGATACAGGATGCAGTTTTATTGCTGCCATACACCTCTAGCTAAAACCTATTTTTATATTAAGTTTTTGAAATACTTAAAATAATAGCCAGGGCCAGGCATTTTTTAGCCCGTAATTGATGATAATATTGCAACAATGTACTTGACAGCGGTAATATTTCACAAGTGGAGATTCATATTAAGACGCACTTTGATGTTGCTCGCAACACATTTCTACAAAATCGCCTTAAATTGGTAAATCTTCTGATGCACCAAATACTACCTTGACCTCTTCTGATAGTGCGGTATGGTACTTACAACAACCGACAATATAAGTGGAAAAGTACTGAAAATATATCTTATGTCGTAGATCTTTCTTCCTGATTAAAATGCAGAGTGTAATATTAATTAGTGCTTTAATGTAGTGAGAGAAACCTACGACAGTTAGATACTGGGAAAGAAACGGTTGGAAAGCTCGGTGTTGCCATGAAAACATAATCTTCGGTTATTTAAAATATTTTGGAATAATGTTGAATATCTCTAAAATTTGGAAATTTTCCCTCATATGTATTGAATATTCATCTAATATATTTTATCTTGTTCGGTAGGAATATCTTTACTTAGGGCATCTGAAGTTGAAAAACGTTTATTCTTATGTTTTATAGCTAGAATGGACTGATAATTTTTTTACTAAATTTTAGTTTGTTGCATTTTTAATTTTTATTCTAATTAAAAGTCAAATGTTTGATTTAACATATCCAATGTACTGTATACAAGAGAACTTGCGAAATGTTATTCCACATGTTCGATATTGGTTTATGTAACTTAATCTCCTCTGAAGAAGGTCGTGTGGTTATCTCGATTATTAGTTTGCAAACTACAGAGAAGTGTTATTTCTTTATCTACCATTGGTCTATTTCTCGCAATTCGTTTTGCATAGATATGACACCAATTAAAAAATAACATTTATTCGCTCATACTAAATTGCCGATGATCATTCGTAACATTTTACATTATCAGAAGGGATATTATATTAATTGAAACAATCGTAAAATGCTCAATATGATTGAGTATACTTCTTCCTCACGAATTAGAGTACGAATGAAAAACACAATCGTAACGAAATTATTAAGTGAGGTTGTGGTTTCTCTTCTGAAACAGGCTTGAAGTTTAATTTGTGAAGTTGATAGAGAAGTACTACGAGCATTTTACACCACTAGGCGTCTCTTGCATCCCAGTTTCCATTTTAGTTTGTCACTGCAATCTTCCGCAATTAATCTTCTCGTCACCTTCTCCACTACTTCCTTTCACGTTCTTCTAGGTCTTCCTCGTCTTCTGTGTGAAGCTGTTGCCAATTCCACAGCTTTAGAGGCCATCGTTCTCCACCCATTCCGTGTCAGTCTCTCCGTTTGAGTCTTTTAATTTCAGTAGTATCGACAATGTTGAGATTCACTTGTGTTTTTCGTCTAATTTGACAGTGATGAATTAAATTAGTATCCCCTTTTCATCAATACATCTCTTATTAATGCACTGTCTATTTTTTTTGGTTGTTAGTGATTCTGCGCGCGTCAGCTGCTAAGGCCATTGATTCCGTAAGTGTAGATCGGTGTTTTTTCCTCGGGAGGTGGCGATGATCTTCCCCAGCTGGATGGCGAGATACGGCACCGATCTACCATCGGCTAGCGGGGTTTTCCTCAATCAAGTATCTCTCGGGGCACCACCCCAGCCGAGTGTTCCCTGTTCCTCGAGTCTAAGCTCCTGATGTCTTCCGGCATGAGCGGTAGTGTAGTGCATGTTAGTGTGTGTGGAAGGGGTGAGGTTACTACAAGAAAGAGTAAGGAAAGATCGCGCGCGGTCCTTGGCCCGTTTGTTAAGGTACTGCTCCGGCATTCGCCTGGTGTTGATCGGAGAACCCACAAAAAATTGCCGACCAGTGCAGCCGCTTCTAGAATTCTCCTTCAGACAGCAAATGATTTCGACGTAGCTGACAAGCTAGTGTCAAAAATCCTGCAACCGTCGGGATGTGAACCAACTATCTCCCGGTCAGAGGCACTGCGTTGGCACGGATAGCACGACGAAATGTTTCCTCCACGAAGTTGACCGCCATGCCACAAGTGAGCAGTAGGTAGTCAGTCGCCCTGAACGTATTTCACATGACATATGATTAGGAGGGATTTAGATAAATCATTGTAAGAGCTTTGGTTGATATTTTTTATTTATGTTTTTACTTTAATTATTATTTTATTTTTACTTTTACATATCATCATCAGAAAACGGCAGGGTTACTACTGATAGTTTCCTTTCTCGACGCTAGTTTCACTTAGCTCTTAGCATACCATGGTGCCACGTAGCGTACCTCTGCCACCAGTAGAAAACCTGACATCACTGTCTCAGGATCTCCTCTCGACGCAAGTGTTGCCGCGACGGGTTCGGCGAGTGCTGGCCAGTCCGACGTCGGCTATCGATCGGCTGGACCCTCGCCGTCGCCTTCGACCGCGGGGGAGGCGCCCGCGGGGGCGTTGGGCGGGAGGCTGCGCGCGGGCGGCTCTAATGAAATGAGGGCGGCGAGGCGCTGCGAGGCGAGACGAGGCGAGGGGACGAACGGACGCACGCGGCGTGGCGTTGGCAGCGAGGGGGCCAGGAGGCAGGAGGGGGGGTGGCTTCGCATCGAAGGGTGGATTCACTCTCTGGCTTTCTCTTTCCTCTTTTCCTTCGTTCTCTTTAATACTTCCTTCGTTCTCTTTACGTACTTCCTTCGTTCTCTTTACATACTTCCTTCGTCCTCTTTACATGCTTCCTTCGTTCTCTTTACGTACTTCATTCTTTCTTTTAATATCTTCTTCTTTTCTTTTCCTTTTTTCACTATTTCTCAGTATATTCTTCCTTCTCTTCAACTATCCTTCTTCCCTTTTTTAATTCTTTCTCTGGACATACTTTCTTCCCTTATATTTTCTTCTTTCCTTTTCCTCCTTTCTTTCTTTTTACATACTTTCTTCCTTCTGTTCTTCATTCCTTCTGTTATCTTTTCTTCTCTTTTTTCTTGTTTTGAAGAGTGAAATGTTTAGAATTTAATGATATAAAAACACCATTGCTATTCCAAAGCCTATTTCAAATTATTTAATTTTATTGAGACTGATATTCTCAGAACATTTAAAGAAATTTGTAAATTAAAGCTTAAAAAATTATTCGATTTGAGGTTAATAAAACAAATTCTCTTTGTTTTCCTTCTGCTTATTCCTACTCAGATCTTCTAAAACGAAAAAAAATGTTATAATAAGCTTTTATGAAGATAAATTTAAATGGGTGTAACGAAACTATGAACCCGTGTTATTGTCCGAGAATTTCCACTTAAAAGGGTCTTTGGTCATGATAAGCGAAACGTCCTGGTCTGCAATTAGGAAAGGTACATGAAGAATAAAGAATGTATTTATTGTTTCTGGGTGCGTCAATTATTTGGGTAATTAATTCCGTAAGTGTAGTGCACATTATATACCCAGAAGTAGTGGTGTTCCTCCCCCACTGAAAAATGAAATTCGACACCGAATTTCAAGTCGGATTGCGAGGGGTTTTCTCCTCCAGGAATCTCCCCAACGAAGCACCACCCCAG